AAAAAAAAAAAAAGAATACAAAGAATAAGAATACTACAATGTTCACCTATATATCCACCACCTAAGTTCAGAATTGTTTTAAAATTTTGGCATATATGCTTTATGTGTATGTGTTATGCACACATGCTGAGATAACTCAGCATGTGCATCCACACATAAATTTCTTATAATTTTTTTTTTTGCTGAGAAATTTGTAAATACAGATCAATTTCACCCACAGACACTATACTATATCTTCTAAATATAAAGATACTGTCCTGCATAACCATAGTAACATCACATTTCTGAAAGTTAACATTAATTTAATATCTAGCCCATAATCACATTTTCCAAAATGGACCCAAAAATGTTGTCTTCTTGTTGTTAGTGGGTGCTGTTGAGTTGGTTCTGATTCATAACGATCCTATATACAACAGAACAAAACACTTCCCAGTCCTGTGCCGTCCTCGCAATCATTGCTGTGTTTGAACCCATTGTTGCAGCTGCTTTATCAGTCCATCTCATTGAGGGTCTTCCTCTCATTCGCTGACCTTCTCTTTTACCAAACATGATAGCCTTTGCCAGGAAGTGATCCCTCTTAGTGAAATATCCAAAGTACATGTGACAAAATCTCACCATCCTCACTTCTAAGGAACATTCTGGCTTTAGTTCTTCTAAGACGTGTTCTTTTTTCTGGAAGTCCATGGAATATTCAGTATTCTTCACCAACACCATAATTCAAGTCCTTCAATTCTTCTGCAGTCTTCCTTGTTCATTGTCCAGCTTTCTCATGCATACAAGGCAATTGAAAACACTTGGCTTGGGTCATACGTACCTTAGTCCTCAAGTCTTCTTAATAGCTGTTTATTTTTCAAGTCAGGATCCAATCAAAGTTTATTTTAATTGTCATTTGGATATTATGTCTCTCTGGTCAATATTTCTAAAATGTTTCTCCCCTTTTTCTTGGCATTGACTGTTGAAGATACCAGACCAGTTGGTATCTTGAACATTGAAGACTGTCTTATGTTCTGTATTTGACTATTTCCTTATGGTATTATGTAGTTTATTTCTGTATTTTTTATAAACAGGAGTTTATGTCTGAAGGCTTGATTTACTTTAAACATTTTGACAAGAACAGTCCTTAGATGATGTGGCATACTTCATATTGCATCATATCAGAAAGCATGTCACTTGCTGTACTCTTGAAGCACCCAAACTATAATTGTCTCTGTAAATCAGAGGTCAAAAATTCACCTACCTTTAGGACCAGTCCAGTAATGTATATGAATGAAGTGGACCAGGCAGATGTACAAACTGGAGAACACAGATTCCGTCTACTAGGGGCATCCACTATTCAGCAACAGCCAGTTATTACCATATAAGAATGTAGGCTCAGATTTTCCCAATGCTTCTGAATTTTTCAGAAGTCAGTTGTGTGTGTGTGTGTGTGTTACATATTTTTAGCAATAGAATATAAGACCATTGTAATCATAATGCTTGCTTCTCACACTTGAGGCCCAGCTACCCTTTCCCTGTTGATCAGCCCTGTTATTTCTATCATTTTTCTTCCTACTTAACTGTTAAAGGAGTTTTATTATTTTATATTCCTACTCAGAGTATATGAGAGTACAAACTTCAGGTTCCTTTTAAAATAATATCTCTCTCTTTGCAGCATATCTGGGGATCTTTTTGGAAAGAAGGCCGATGGGGATACAAATGCTGTCACTCTTTTGTCAAGTATTCTTATTGTACTGGAGAAGCTGGGAAGGAGATTGCTGTAAGTACTTGTCACTGGCTTTTAAAATGTAAAACAGCCTAAAACTCTTTTTTTTTTAAACCAAACTCATTGCCATTGAGTCATTTCCAACTCATTGCGATGCCCATTGGGTTCCCAAGGCAAAAAATTTTTTTTTTTTTTTTTTTTCCAATAAATGCATTTTATTGAAATACAATTTATGTACAGTGAAAGACACAAAACTAAAGTGAACAGGGGTCAATGCATTTTTTTTTTTTTTTTTTTTTTTGCAGTGTTCCTTTCCCACCCCTCCCACCCCTGGCAACCAACAAAGAAAGTTTCCCTCCATATATAAACCTTTCCTTGACCCTCCACAACAACCAACTAGTATTATATTTGTCCTTCTATGAATGACTTACTTCACTCAGCATAATGTCCTCCAAGTTCATCCATATTATGCAGTGTTTTGCAGACTCTACATTATTCTTTAGTACTGTATAGCATTCCATTATGTGTATGTACCATAGTTTGGTCATCCACTCTTCCACTGATGGGCACATAGGTTGTTTCCATCTTTTTGCTATTGTAAATTGTGCTGCAATGAACATGAGTGTCCGGGCTCTCACCTCTGTAGGATATATACCTGGTAATGGGATTGCTGGGTCAAATGATATCTCCAATTCCAGCTTTCTGAGGCATCGCCATATTGCTTTCCACAGTGGTTGTATCACTTCCAGTCCCACCAGCAGTGTATGAGAGTCTCAATCTCTCTACATCCTCACCAACATTTGTTACTTTCTGTCTTGTTGAACCTTGCCATCAGTGCTGGGGTGAGATAATATCTCACTGTTGTTTTGATTTGCATCTCTCTGATGGCCAGTGATTGTGAACATCTCTTTATGTGTTAGTTGGCCACCTGAATATCGTCCTTGGTGAAGTGTCTATTCATGTCTTCAGCCCATTTTTCAACTGGATTGTTAATTCCTTTGGTGTTGAGGCACTGGAGTTTTCTATAAATATTAGAGATAAGTCCCTTGCCAGATATGTAATTATTGGCAAATGTCAATTTGTTGCTGTCATTTTTGTTATGTACTTTTTCGTGGTGTTGATGGCTTTTGTTCCATATAATTTTCTATGCTGAGCTCATTTTGTTTATGAATTGTGATATCATTTCCTTCGTTGCTGTTGTTTTAGTATTTGCTAAATATTTGTGCTGGTCCTCTTTTTTATTTTGATATGAAGGTTTATCATTTTTCTTTGAGGTTACCCTGTGATTTATAGTTTTCTTCCCAAGGTTAGAATAGTCTGCTCTGTCTTGTAGTTGTCTTGACATCCCTACCATCTAGAAGTTCTGTAACAACACAGTTTTTTCCCTTTTTTTGGTGTGTAGTTGTCCTCATTTGTCAATTGGTGTCTCTGGTTCCCTGTTTACAATCTTGTAGGCTTATTTACTTTGGGTACTTTACTTCCATAGCTGGGTTGGTTTCTGGGTTATATCATCATGTGTGTTAATGGTCAGTTGTTGTTGGCTGTTGTTGCTTCTCTGTCCAGAGGGCTACCTTTAGCACCTCTTGTAAGGTTGGTCTGGTTTTAACAAATTCCCTTAATTTCTGCTTAACTGGAAATGTCCTAATTTCAGCTTCATATTTGAGGGACAGTTTTGCTGGGTACGTAATTCTTGGTAGGTAGTTTTTTTCTTTTGGTGTTTTATATATACCATCCCATTGTCTTCTCGTCTGCAACTTTCTGCTGAGAAATCCTACCTTAGTCTTGTTGGTTGCCACTTGTAGGTAACTTTTCATTTTTTCCATGCTGCTCTCTAAATCATCTAAAGAAAGATGATTCTTTCTTTGTCTTTGGTTTTGGTGAGTTTGATGATGATATGTCTTGGTGTTTTTCTTTTGGAGTCTATCCTGTTTGGGGTTCGTTGTACTTCCTGAATGGATATATTCTCATCTTTCATCATATCAGGGAAGTTCTCCTCCAACAAATCTTGGACAATTTTCTCAGTGGTTTTATTTTTCTCTGTTCTGGAATTCCAATGACACGTAAGTTATTCCTTTTGATGGTATCCCACATGAACCTTAGGCTTTCTTCATTTTGTTTTGATCTTTTTCTTGATCCCTTTCCAAAGAAGTATTCAGGTATTTGTCTTCAGTCTCACTAATTCTGTCTTCCATTGCATCAGTTCTCCTTTTTTGCCCTTTCCATGTGTTATCTATTTCTGACAATTTAGTGGTAATCTTCAGGATTTCTATCTGTAGATTTTGAATCATTTCTAATTTTTCATTTCTTTTGTCATTTGTTCTTGTATTTTCTTCCGAAATTCTTCTAGGGTTTTTTCTGTGTTTTCTTTGGTCTATCTCTCAATCCTTTGAAGATACCTAAATACAATTCTTTGCAATTCCTTATCAGGGAGCTTCAGTGCTGTGTCTTCCTCAGGAATGTGTTTTGGGTCTGTATCCGGTCCCTTGTTTCTCCTGCTTTATCTTCTTTGTGTGGACTGTGATGCTGTGTTGTCTCTGAGGCATTGTAACGTTTTTGTGTTTATATTTAATTAGTGGTTGTATGTTGGAGTGACTTGTCCATGATTTTCATTTTCTTTGTTTTGTTTGTATGTTATCTATGCAAGCAGGGTACTGTGATGTGCTCCTGTATTTGCTAGTTGGCAGCACTTATACGCTTACCACCTTTCTCCCTTCCTGTTGTCAGCCTCTTGTGTGTCCCTGCCAACCTTGAGAAACAGAGTCTATTCTTAGGTCCCTGGGATCCAAATGAGAATACTATCACTTTAAAATCCAAAATGGGTGCCACTTCTAAAGATCAAAACAGCCTAAAACTCTTAAGTCAAACTGTGTATGAAATATCTTCTTATGTTCCAAATTTTTACCCATCTTTTGATGATTGATAACTATGACAGTCAAGTCAAATTAAATCTATTTTCTCTTGTATCATTACACAGAATGCAGAGGAATGTATTCCAAGTGATATAATTGGAGAAGAGTCCCTGAAGAAACCTCAAACCCTCATGGAGGTAAGTCTATAATCATTTGTCCTGAATTTTTAACTCCTGCATGGAGGACTTTAAAACTTGCCCTACATGTTTGTTTTCACACTGATAACACTGTATTTCAATCCTCCCTCTTAGATGCATCAGGAAAAACTAAAAGAGGATAAAAAGAAGAAAAAGAAGAAGAAACATCGAAAGAGCAGTTCAGATAGTGATGGTGAAGAAAAACATGAAAAATTGAAAAAGGTGCTTTTTGTAGTCTAAATAGTGAAAGTGACAGTTAATCTGTATTTAGAAGGGACTTAAGGAAATGATCTAGTCCTATCTCCCTAATTTTAAAAATGAGGTAATCAGCCCAGAGCCTTGGTGATTTGCTTGATTCATATTATATCAGGTCCAGATCTAGAATAAGAAGCCCTGTTGGCACAATGGTTAAGGTTATAAGTTGTTACTTTACAGTTATTGACATGTTGTCCAGAAAGAATTACCTTCTAACTCCATAATCTTAAAGTTTCAGTAAGTTCTTGGGAAACATCAAATTATAGTCACCACCAGATGCATCAGTTGTGGGCTTGCATCAATGAAATGAACTTCATTTGCTTTTTCTTGTTAAGTAGAATATCGTTAACATTGACTAAAAATGGCAGAGGTTGTTTTATACTGTATGAAAATATTCTGCCAGCCAAACTGACTCCTAAACTCTTTCAAACAGTCCAGGTTTTTGATGTAGCAGTTTATATTCAAGGTGTCTTTTGGTACTCTGCGTCTTTTGAGTAAAAAGGTGCTATAGAGCCATGGTACTCATTTTTTCCCCTCACCACAGGCATTGAATGCAGAAGAAGCCCGCCTTCTTCACGTCAAGGAGATCATGCAAATAGATGAGCGGAAGAGGCCTTACAATAGCATTTATGAAACTCGCGAACCAACAGAAGAGGAAATGGAGGCCTATAGAATGAAACGTCAGAGGCCAGATGACCCCATGGCCTCTTTCCTTGGCCGGTAGTAACCAGTCATAGAAGGTCATCCAGAATGGACACAACTGATAGGTTCTTTTCAGCTTCTTGCTGATAATTGTAAATAGCCAAATCCTTGTCTGCTCTTCTTACTGCCTGACTTTAATAAAACTTTTAGAAGTTGTATAGTAAACTCATTCCTTTCCATGCTGAGGAGATTAAACAAAGAGGAAGCACATTAAATGCAATTCAGATTTTATTTTCAGTTTTTGTAAGTGATATAGAAGCAGTCCTGGGTCATAATGTCCTTTCCTCAACTGTTCTTACATCTCAGACTTTATTTCCTTAAATTTTGTTGTCCTTTAGCATTTGTAAGGAGCTCTGGTGGTGCAGTGGTTAAGGCATTTGGCTGCTAACCAGAAGGTCGGTGGTTCAAACCCATCAGCCACTACATGGGAGAAAGATGAGGCAATCTGCTTCTGTAAAGATTTATAGCCTTTGAAACTCTATGAGGGTTGCTGTGAATCAGAATTGAGTTGATGGCAGTGAATTTAGTATTATACTCATAATTTTTTTAATATAGATGAGTTAAGTTTAGTATTACACTCAATTTTTTTTAATATAGATGAGTTAATTTTTCTCAAAAAGAGTTTTTGCTTTTTTTTAATTACTAGTAACTATAATTACAGTTATTTTTTAATTATTTGACTTTGTCTTCTAAGATCAGAAACTAAAACTAAAAAACCATTCTAGCTTGGATCCCTGAAGAAAATCTGTATAACATGTGAATAACTTTACGTCAATCTGAATTTGTATTTTGTTTTTACTTGGTTATAAAAGTTTGATTTTTAATACATTTCCTTCTGTCTTACAAATAGAGCTAAATATATGTTAGTTTTGACGTATTTAAAACACGTCATTGGAAAAATAATTTCCTTATCCTTGAGTCAGCATTGACCTATCAGCATTAGGTCTTTACTATTCTGGACATTAGCTTTTAGACATCATAATCCTTTTCTTTATCGTAGAGGCTATGGGTTTGTGACACTGTTTGTTATTTTAATTGTGATTGCCTTTATGTAACTATCATGAGTATAAAATTGGATAAAGACTACAGAAAGTCCATTGTACTAAACCTTTATAGACAGTAGGTGTCACTTTCCTTGTAAAATTTGCAAGAAGCAAAAACTAAGGTTGGAAGATTTTTTTTAATGAATTATGAAGGACAGATTTTAGGGATATTAGTAACAGATTGCCATGATCCTCATACCTCGGCTGAGAGCATTGTGAAGCTAATATTGACAGAATGGAATCAGTGAAAACAGCCTGTTAAAAGACCCTGATATGAGCACATTGACATTTAACAACTCGTAGCTTTTCTATCACAAACCCTTGAAGGATACTGCTTTAAGTCAGCATCTCAGAAATAGTGCTGGTAGAAAAAAGACCAGCAATGTGACTTAGGGTGGAGGCTTTGGACCACAAGTTATCAGTCCATCTCGAAGGACTTAGAGACTGTAGACTAAGACTGACCACATGGGCAGTCAATCAAACATGTCTATCCATGATGAAGCCCTATTAAAAACTAGAAAACTGGACACTGAGGGTTAGGAGAGCTTCTCTGGTTAGTGATACCCTGTGTTTATTGTCACACATTGATACCAGAAAGGTATGTTGTCTGTGGCTTCACCAGTTGCCGTCAAGTTGATTGCAATTGGTAACCAAAAGATAAGAGATTCAAGTCCACCCAGACGTGCCTCAGAAGAAAGACCTGGTAATCTACTCCCCCAAAAATCAGCCATTGGAAATCCTATGTAGCACAGTACAACTGTTAGAATCTTGGTGTTGCAATCTGCTTGACAGCAGATGGCTTTGGCTTTGGCCACAGATCCATGGGGGTGAGGACAATGGAAGCTCCATATTTGGAACCCTCCTGGACACTGCCCTCTACACTTCTTTTCTTGGCTGATTTTAGTCTATAATAGACTGTAACTGAATATCACAGCTTTTAGTGAGTCCTTTGTGTCCTAATGAATTACTGAACTTTAGGGTGCTCTTGGGAACACCTGGAAAAAAAGAAATCAAATGGTTGGAGTTTTGAGTCCAGTGAGAGACACTTGGAAAAAGGGACTGGCAATCTACATCAGAAAAGTCATCCACTGAAAACACTATGAAGCACAGGTCTACTGTGACACACATGGGGTCGCCTTGAGTCAGAATCAACTTGATGGCAGCAGTGACAAAAGCACTCATTAACACATGGCTCATACTAGTATGAAATTAAAGGAAACGGACTTCATTCTTACTTGCTTTAATGTAAAAGAATTGTATTTTCATGTTCTTAGGTTAATGTGGACAAGATTTCAACATAAAGCCTGACATTGGTATTTTATATTTTATTTACCTTTTATTAGTAAAGATATATATATATATGTTGTTGTTATGTGCCGTCGAGTCGGCCCCGACTCATAACGACCCCTCCTTGGGTTTCCAAGGCAGTATCACTACGGAAGTAGGATTGCCCAGCCTTCCTTCTGAGGAGTGGCTGGTAGGTTTGAACCGCCAGCCTTCTGGTTAGCAGTCAAGTGCTTTAGCCACTATGCTACCAGAGCGCTCATATATATATATATATATATATATCAGAATACTTAACTGAGTATTCTATAACCTCATTTCAAATATTTGGTACAAGAGTGGGTTACAGGACTGGCAAGAAGCCTAACTTAGCTTCTATAGGTTTGTATTAGAAAATGTCATGATTCTTTAACAAAAGAAAATATCACCTCTATCCTTAAAGGTTGGGCAATCCTACTTCCATAGTGATACTGCCTCGGAAACCCAAGGAGGGGTCACTATGAGTCGGGATTGACTCGACGGCACATAACAACAACAACAACATCCTTTCTGGAAGGAGCTCTAGTGGAACAATGGTTAAAGCACTCAGCTACTAACCAAAACCCATCAGCCAGTCTGAGGGAGAAAGTTGAGACAGTCTGCTTCCATAAAGATTTACAGCCTTGGAAACCCTATGGGGCAGTTCTGCTTTGTCCAGTAGGTCACAATGAGTTGACATTGACTCAATGGCAGAGGGTTTGGTTTTGATTTTAACCTTTCTGGATCTCAGTTCCCTCCTCTACAAGGTACACTTTTGATTTTAGAGTTCTATTATATCCAAAATCATGTATTATTTTTGTTTCATTTTTAAATAAAGGTAACATCTAGAATATTACTAATTTGAGCTTTGATTCTATTATCTTTTTAATAATAGCTGCCTTATCAGTGCAGCTGAAGTTGAAAAGAACTTCATGGGATGAATAATGGGCAGTATCTGTCTTTTACAACAAACAAACAGATTGTTTTAGTTATCTAGTGCTGCTATGACACACATTCCACAAGTGGATGGCTTTAATAAACATTTCTCATAGTTTCAGACACTAGAATTATGAATTCAGAGTGTCAGCTCCAGAGAAAGGTTTGCTTTCTGTCAGGTCTGAAGGAAGGGCTTTATCTCAACTTCTGCTTCCTGGTTCCTCCAGGATAGTCCTTTTCATTTCTTGGAAGACAGCAGATGTAACTCCTCTGACCTGTTTCCTGCCTGTAGAATTCCATGAAGCAAACAGCATTCTTTCATCCTTTCTCTGTCCCCTTCAGGCTAAGCTGATGGATTTTCTGCTGTGGTGATTGGTTAGTCACAGGCTTTATCTCTTCAGCGAAAGATGGTGTAGCCACATCCTTAGTGAAATTCTAGGACACATGTCCTTAGTTTATACAACAAGATTTTCCAGATCTTTTCTTTTCGTTGAGCACAGTTTCTTTCTTTCTTTTTTGGCTGATCTGTCTATATTTGCCATTTATAGTTCTTAAGTGAATTTTTGCTACACATTCTTGAACTGTTCCCTCAATTTCAGCATTTGTGTTCTTAGTGCTCTTAAGAGTGAGCTCACCCCTAAGAAAATGTTATGGATATTAACTCTTCACATATGTTGGAAATATCTTTCTCAGTTTGTTGAGTTTCCATTTTTATAGTTAGTTTTATCAGTATTTTTTAAGATTTATTTCTTTGCATTTGTGCTTAGTATATTCTGTGATCAGATAAATACTGATTTCAGTTTTCTCTTACAGATTGCATTTAGAGCTGTTTGGTGGGTTTGGCATAGAATCCTTATCCTTTATTTTTCTGAACTTTTTATTGTGATTTGGGTGAAAGTTTACAGAGCAAATTCATTTTCCATTCAATACTTCATACACATTTTGTGACGTTAATTACAATCCCCACAATGTCACAGCTCTTTTCCCACTTCCTCCCCGTGGTTACCTTTTCTGGTTCCTTCTTTCCTATGCACTCCAGCCTTCTGAGCTTTCTCCCTGCAAATGCTGCCTTTCCCATCTCTTATGGTTGATTGTTCTAAGGAGTGTGTCCCTCCCTGATGTAGTTGTTCACCTCGTAGGCCTGTCTGTTGTTTGGCTGAAAGTTGAGGCACAGGAGTGAGTCCTGTTCCAAGCCTTAAGGGCCATAGTTTTAGGAATTTCACCAGTCTTTATCAACCCACTAAGCCTGGTCTTACGAGTTTGAGTTGTGTTCCACATTTTTCTCCCATTCTACCCAGGATCTCCCAATTTTGATCCTTTTCAGAGTGGTTGGCAGTGGTAGCCAGGCACACCATCTAGTTTTGGTCTTAGGTCATGTAGGCTGAGGTTCCCATGGTCCACTAGTCCATTGTCCACCAAAAAGAAAAAAAAAAGCTCATTGACGTCGAGTCCTTTCTGACTCACAGTGACCCCTCCTTGGGTTTCCAAGGTGGTCTCTGATATGCCTCAGAAACCCAAGGAGGGTTCACTATGAGTCAGGTCTAACTCAACGGTACATAACAACAGCAATAACATCTCTACAGAAGTACCTTGCCCAGTTTTCCTTCCAAGGGGTGGCTGGTGGGTTTGAACTGCCAGCCTTCTGGTTAGCAGTCAAACGTCTTAGGCATTCCACCACCAGAGCACCCATTGTTCCACGCATCTTTTTATTTTATTCACTCTTCTCTGTTCCAATAAGGAGAGGCCAATAGCTGCATCTTAGACGCTTGCAAGCTTTTAAGATCCCAGTTGCTGCTCACCAAACTAGGATGTAGAACAGTGTATTTGTGTACTATGATATACCAATTTAGCTTGATGTTCCCCATGACTG